ACCATGTAATGTTTTTTTTTTTTTCTCTCTCTCTTTCTCTTATTCCATCTCCTTAGTTTTGTTCTTTCCTCAAAGCCTCTTGCAATTCATCAATGAGAAGGAACTAAATAATATTTTCTTGCATTTTTTACAGGTTCGACAAGAGGATTACAACTTTTGCAATGGATAAGTTCGGTAGGGATGGTATACAAGTGAAAGTTGGTTCCATGGTTACAAAAGTAGGCGAAAAGGAGATATCTACTAAAGAAAGAGCCTCAGGCCAAACTGTGTCTATACCTTATGGGATGGTCGTCTGGTCGACTGGAATTGGTACTCGTCCAGTTGTGATGGATTTCATGAAGCAGATTGGACAGGTTTTCTCTTTTTCTTTTTTTTTTTTTTTTTGGGCCTTCTCATTTTTATTCTCTGAGTTAATTTTTTGCTACTGCATTGTTAATTCATATGTACACAGTATTGAGTTTCAAAAATTTTCTGGTTTTGTAGACAAACAGACGAGTATTAGCAACTGATGAGTGGCTGCGTGTTGAAGGATGCGATAATATCTATGCTCTTGGGGACTGTGCTACAATAAATCAACGCAAAGTCATGGTACATTTCGTTTCATCATATATACTATTAGCTTATTTTATTTTATTTGCATGATTTTGTGAAAGAATTATGACCATCTTATGAACGAATTTTCCTGTATGTTAACAGGAGGACATATCTGCAATTTTCAGCAAGGCAGACAAGAAGAACACGGGCCACCTTAAGGCTGATGATTTTAAGGAGGTGATCAAGGACATTTCTGACAGGTATCCTCAAGTGGAAATCCATCTGAAAAAGAAGCAGCTCAAGAATTTCCTTCAATTGCTCAAGAAAGCGGATGGGGATGATGAAATCGATATCGAGAAGTTCAAGTTAGCACTTTCTGAGGTGGATTTACAATTGAAGAATCTTCCTGCAACTGCACAGGTTAAAGATAAATAAAACTATGAATGTCACAGATTGATATAAGAACATTTTTTTTTTTCTAAAATTCTCTTTTCATTATATTTTCAGGTAGCTGCCCAGCAAGGTTCGTACTTGGCTGATTGTTTCAACCGAATGGAGCTCTGTGAGAAGTATCCGGAAGGTCCGTTGAGGTTTCGGGGGACAGGAAGGCATCGTTTCAGACAATTCAGGTACAATTTGGAAGAATGTTCTTAGCTATTTCAGTTAATGCAGTGACAATATAGCACTTTTATCATCTATATATCCCTTGTTCGAAAAATGGAGTTTAAGTTCCTGAGGACAGTGTATCATATAATCTGTCGAGTATTTGAGTACAAGACACTAATTAAAGAGTTCATTAGCTAGAGTGTTCATTTCAAAACTTGATTGTTCTGATTATAAAAAGGACAAACAAATCTTTTAAACTTGCATTTATCTTACAAGTTCATGGTGCAGTTTTGTAAAACGAGTTAAATGTCAGTGGTCAAAGGGTAGTTTTGGTAGAAACCCTCTGATACATTAATGAAGTTTTGGTTCACTTACATTGTTTTGGCTGTATGATTGCAAGGTACAAACATTTTGGGCAATTTGCTCCTTTGGGAGGAGAACAAACAGCAGCTCAGCTTCCTGGAGACTGGGTTTCCATTGGTCATAGCACCCAGTGGCTCTGGTACTCTGTTTATGCCAGGTAAACTTACAATAACACACTTGGATTCAAATTACAATTGGGTTAATGTTAAATCTAATCCAAAAAAAAAAAGAAAGAAAGAAAAAGATATATATTTTTTCTTAAAATAACATTACATGTGGAGATATTCCATATTGATGTGTCGTCTTATATTCTCGTCTTATTTTATCTCTGCAGCAAGCTGGTCAGTTGGCGCACAAGATTTCTGGTGGTCTCGGATTGGGGCAGGCGCTTCATATTCGGGAGGGACTCGAGTAAAATCTGAGATGAGCTGATTCATATAGGGCTGCGTAGCTTAATACATGCATGGGAAAAAACAATTTTCATGACTTTACATTCAAACTTAGTAGTTTTTGTTGGAACCCCTTTTCAGAGTGTTTTGATGCTTTGTTGTGCTGCTAGCCAGCCAATGCATTGCTGAGTTCTGCTACTGAAATTTTGGGTGAAGGATAGATTGCTTTCAACCTCTTTAACAAGAGAGGTAGAGAAGTATGGTTAATTTCTTAGATATCTAGTTCTTTGTTTTAAGGTTTTGATACATTTGATACTATTTTATGTTTGCTTCACATGGATGCATACAGTTAGTTCATCGAGTAATGGCAAAGGACTCGACTTTCATTTCTGGTAACAATATGCATTTAACTTTCTTGTTTTCTGCAATCTACGAAAGCTAAAAGGAACTTCCTCAACTAGAACACCAACACTAGTGATAGTAAATGAAACAAGAAAATGATTTCAAGATTTGTACTAGTCTGATGATTTGTGTGTTTTTCATGCCTCTTACAGCCTACAAACTAGAACAGAAATCACATCAAAAATCTGCTAGATAACATAGAATCAATTAACCCAATCAACAGCAAATCCCCAAGGGTGAAGAAAAAAAAAAAAAAAAAATACTACAGTTAAATTTCTTATATTTCAAGCATAACAAGTTATATGGACATACATATGTGCCCAATTGACACATCATCAGCTGATTAACCGCAATATTGTATTAGATAAATTTCTTACACCCAATGTGTGGTGCTGATCAGCACTTAGCATGCACAACATATCTAACAAAGGCCTTATAATGACCTAAAGTTTGTGCATAATACCTCACATTGATCCTCTCCTCCAAAGCATACTGCTTCAGGTACTGAACATACATCGATGCGTTCACACTTGAATTGATTAATTACGGTACCGTCCCTAGTGTGAACGCGTGGATGTATGTTCAGTACCTCGTCCTGCTTGAATTATTACTATCGGTACCGTCCCTAGTGTGAACGCGTGGATGTATGTTCAGTACCTCGTCCTGCTTGAATTATTACTATGTGCCCAGTCTTCCTTCAAGCTCTCTGTGTACTTGTTACATCAATTATCCATGAAAAACAGAAGAACAAAGCCAGAGTAAAAACAACTCCCTCACATCGGTTTTCATGAACGTATGGAGGTTTTCCTCTTTTACTCTCTCCTGTAACTTGATTAAATTCAAGTAGGTGGCGCTGTAATTATCCCGAGCTCAGTTAAATTCAACTTGAGGTATCATATGAGCTCTTGCTTAGCATGGTCAACCCATTCACATACTGAAAAATCCTCTCACCAAAGATATAAAAGTTATTTGTATTTCTCAAACCGGAAATCCCTTGGAACAACTGGTTTCGGAAAGAGTTTATTCATCTCCGTGGAGAATTTCGAAGCCAACTCCAATCTCCCAGATTTCATTAAACTAAAAACCAAAGCCCGGTAGATATGAACTGAAGGACTGATCCCTCTACATTTCATCTCATCAAACGCTCTCAAGGCTTCTTCAACATGCCCTGATCTCCCTAAGCTCTCGATCAGAGCTTTATAGCTCACCACATCCGGTTGAATGCCTCTTTCACTCATCTCCTCAAAGTACAACAAGCACAAATCCAATCTACCCATTTTACGAACACAATTCAAGACTGTGTTATACGCTATGATATCCGGAGCAAGACCAGCAGCAGCTTTCATCAGCTCAAACAAACGCAGCATGTCATCAACTCGCCCCTGACGACCCAAAATCGACAAAACCGTATTGTATGTGACCAAATCCGGCTCACATTTCAAGCTCTTCATTTGATCGACTACCAACAAGGCACTTTCGACATGCCCACATTTAGCCAGAGCAAATATAAGCCTGTTCAGAACAATATCGATTCTGGGCAGTTCCAATTCGCTAACTTGTTTGATGAAATTCAGCAACACAGAAGGATTATCAAGCTTTCCAAGAGCTTTAGCGACGATTAGATATGAGCTAAAAATGATTGAGCCAGAAAATACAAGAAGATCCCTAAAAACTTGAGAGAGGGCCTCGACATCATTCTTCTCAACCGAAGCTTCTAGCAGGTAATTATACACACGGGGGCCGAGGAAAATGTGCTTACCGCGTAATTTCTGCGGGAGAATGACGGCTGCTTGAAGGTTTTCGGCAGCGCACAGCCTTCGAATGTGGTTGATACAAATTTCTTCTCTAGAAACAGTAGGATTGTTCTCACAAGCTACGATTTGGTTCAGGATTTCGTCGGTGGATTCTTCAGGAGAAATTTGGGTCGAAAATGGTAGCCGATTGCAGATTGAAATATTCAGAGCAGGTAATAAGCGAACCCTGGACACTCTGATTGGGATGAACTTGACGAAGTTCTGTAATAGAAACACGGCCATCGATTGTTATAGCTTGATTGAGCGAAATTTCCGATAGGGAAAAATATATTTTGGCTAACGTGGGCGGAGCCAGCCAATTAGCCGCGCCGCATGTGGCGGCGACACACGTAGAAGGAAGTGCGGTGAAGGGCAGAAAACGGCGGACGAGAAAGAAGAGAAGGTAAGGGCAATACGGGGATTTCATCTGCCCAACAATGCGAGTGTGTTTTGTAACAACTAAATTAGTTATTATAACTTATTTTGTTATTGTAAATTTTCATATTAAAACAAATTTTATTTTTTAGAGTACATATTTCTATTATATTAATATTTTTTTTCCTAAAAGTCTATTAAAGTTTTTATTTCTATTAACTTGGTAGTTAATTTTAGCAAACACTTATTATATCCATGATAAGGATCATCTAATATGTTAGATATTAGCTAGTTTTGTTATAAATGTAAAGAAAAGGATAAAGAACTGAACATAGAAATCAGATATAGATTATACTGAATTTATTTCTTTTTTCTCTGTATTCATTTCAACTGTATTTGGATTGTCATTTATAGGCAACCTCAGTTGCAATATCATTCACAAAAAATTTTTACCATCATCCCCTTATTGTTCCCAAATTGAATGCTCGAGAATAATGGGATTCTGGTTAGAAGATTCAGGCGAGCTTCCAGTGGTTCTGTCTTCCTCTTACTGAGAAGGTTGTCTCAGCCATAATCCACTTCCCGAATTCCTGTCAGAGAGACATCAATTAGACACATCTACCCTTCTCTAATCACAAATTTTCTCCAGATGTCCTATTATACTACAATAGTAATATGCATTTAAGAGCTTTTTCATACTTTAACTCAATCCACGCTTTCTTGCTTGCATGTTTAATTTTGCCTCCCGAGTTGAAGAGTCTTTCAATTATTTGAGCATTTTTCCTATTTTGAGACCAACCTCGACGCATAACCATTGTTGGTACCTTTCATACTTGGACCCAAATATCAAGTTGATTGAAAATCGAACTTTATGTGTTCAGGCCTTTATCCCATTCACAGAGGACGATATATTCGTTATCGAAAATCCAGTTCTTACCTTTCATAATTTTCATCTTATCTTTCTCCGAAGCAAGGGTTCTTCGATTGACCAAAATTCCGCAAATGTTCATTTGAGCCCCTAGAATTTTACACGTTTCTTGTCGATGATTTTACCGAACATACTTCGATTACATTCTCTTATACTAGCTGAGATATCCTTATCTTCCAGATCTATGCCCAATTGTTCCTTCTCAACACGTTAAAAGCGTGTTTCAAGTTCCTCAACCATGGCTGAGTCCCCGACGAATTAAAGCTCCTAGGGAAGCATACGAGAGAGCAGAGAACAATGACGAAAAGGGGAAAAAGAAAAAAAAAAGAGTTTAAAAGAAGCAAACCTAGATGGTAATACAATTAGAAAAGATAGAGCGAGACTAAGAAGAAGACAAAGTACTAGGGCGACCAACGAGGACCTAAAATAAAAACCTTAACCTACCCAAATAGAACAAAGATAAGAAAGGGACAAAGGAAAAAAAAAATATATACAAGCGGCAAACCTAGATGGCAATACAATTAGAAAAGCTAGAGCAACCCCCGGGGCATAGCCTACTGGTAGCACGATAGTACATGCAGGCGAATGCTCTGCGTAGGGGGATCAAATTCCAAATAGAAGGAACACTCGACAGCTTTTTCTTCATTTGGAGGAAACGGGACATGCTGATATTCACCTCTGTGACGTTGGACTTGTGGGGTGCTAAAATATGAACGGGGGCGGTACGGCTGGTAGCAGGGCACATCTCGCGGTTTACCTCTCAAAGTAGTCAAAAGGTCAGCTATAAGGGTTTAGGACTGACAGACTAAGCAAGAAATCTGAGTGATTAAAAAAAAATTAGAGCCAGACTAGAAAGAAGACAAAGTACTAAGGCGACCAATGAGGGCATAGAAGAACCTTAACCTTCACAAAGGACTGAGAAACTTTCCGGTGAGAGAAGAAAAACCTAGATTAAGAGGGACTCAAATTTTTAACGCTTCTGCTTTCACTTAAATTTTAATGTTTCTGACCCAATTCTTGTTTAATTAACAATTTAAGCACTTACAGCTTCAACCTATAGTACAAAGTTATAGATGATGGTTGGTACTTTACACACAATTAGTAGGTATCATTCTCATGTTCCAAACTCTTCTTAGAATCATTGACTCCTCCCCAATATGTGTACAGCGAACTTTAGATTTCATTCAAAGCCAGCAATAGATATAATTTGATCGATCTAACTGATTTTTCTTTTGTTTGATGATTATCTTTTGAACGATTTTATTTATGACCGCCTCACAAACTTGACAATAATTTGGATATAAATTATTAAAAGTCATTTACAGAACCAAATACTGCAAAACATATTTACAGAATTTACAGTTACAATCCTCTCCCTACTTCAAAACATACCACCATCAAAGTTATGAACTTTAACCTCTCCCTATTCATTTTCAGAGAGTCAACTCAACTACATATTTACAAAATTTACAATTGCAATCCTTCAACTTCTAAAAGCTCACTTTTTTAATGACAGCATCTCAATCGGATCCAAAACCGGGTTCCCCTCCCAACTCGGTCAACCCGTTTCATGAGAACCGAGTCAACTCAGTGAGTCCCGCCTCGAAATCACCATATACACCCTTCAGAGCGACTGGATCTGAAAGAAAAAAGAAAGCCCAACTCAGCTCGGACCCCAGCAGCTCAGGTACATAACTTGCCGGAGGGAATCCTCCGCCTGCTTCTTCCTCTTATCTTCGCCACCTCCGCCGCCGCCGCCGATGAATCCCCCCATCTCGGAGTTGAGCGCACCGGAAAGAGGCCGGACGTCCGCCGCGTCTCCGGTGGCGGAGAAGCAGTGCTTCTTGCCATGGTTGAGCGATTTAAGGCCGGATTTCAGCTTATGCCCCTGGTCCGTGTGGCCGTTCACCACCGCCACGGCCATCCATAGTCTGTTCATGTGACTCATATTTTCTCTAGCTTTTTGTTGTTTATCTTTCTTCTTATCTAGAGACTTTTCTTTTATCCTAAACAGTGATCGACTGTGTATTTGGGTAGATGGGTAGAAGTGAAAGGCAGCCTGTATTTATAGACGGGCTGCAATGATAGATTCCTTTTTTAATTATTCCATTTTCCTAATTTATCGAGGGTGGGACAAATTATTGGCTTACATTTTGGTTATCTCGTGAGATATCGCTAAATGATATGAAAAATGTTTGCTTTCAAGGGAATAAGGATAATCATTTAATTTAATCATTTTAAATAGGGTGAATTCAAGCTAAGTCTTTTATTCATTTATTAAACTAAATTCAACTTGTTTAATAAATCTAAGTATTTATACGAACTTGTTCACAAAAAAGTTTAGATTCGACTATTTATGTAAAACAATATAGAACTAAAAAATGAGTTACTCACTAATTAAACCAATGTGACTCATTTATAAAATGAACTCAATTAGTTATTTGAACTTAGCTCATACAAAAAACATACTAACTAAACTTAAACTTTCACGAGGTAAATTGAGTTATGTTCACAAACAACTAAGTTTAGGCAACAAACTCTAGTGGATAATGCTCTTATTTCATTTTTTTAGTTCACATGTTATACTATAGATAAAATTTGATTGTGTTTTAATAAACAATTATACTTAGAGGTGTAAACGAGTCAAGTCGAATTTTGACTACATTTGATAAATCTAGTTGATAACTGATAAGTTTGTTGATAGTTTATAAGTGAAATTCAAATTTATAGCTGATAACTGAAAATCTAACTGATATAATAAAAAATATAATAAAAAATTGCTGAAATTAAAATATCAACAACTATAAGCTCAAGCCTATAACTGACATAAACTCGAGCTTATAGTTGAAATCAAACACACTTTTAAGCTTTTGATAGTTGAGTGGAAGCCTTTATGGAGCCAAATTAAGTCAATAATGAAATTTTAGCCAAGTCCAATTCGAATTTTAATCAAATTTTTACTAAGTCCAAATTCAAATCTTTAACTTATGGAATTATTTGACTATATTTTATTTTTAAATGAAAAATGAAAAGTAAAAAAAAAAGTTTTAAAATGTATAAGAAATGGGCCATGTGGCGTGCTTATCCGAAGGCATCCATTGACTCATACTCATTCCCAATGGGCAGCCAACAGGTTTCACATATTCTACCCCTTCAGTCTTCAAGTGGGTCCGTGGGCCCATCCTTTCTTTATTATATTCGGTTTTTGTCTTCTACCCATTAGTTTTGTACTTATTTAATGGGGTAAACTGTAAACACTGAACCTGGTTAAAGTAGAAACAACAGAAAAAACAAAAAAAAAAAGAAAAAAGCGTTTGTCGTTTAGCAGTAACAAAAAATTAATAATTGAAAATGAAAAAGAAGAAAAAACCTGTAATCAGTGATGTCATTTCCAGTGCCCCGTTGCAATTTGCTTTTTAATTGGAAATGTTTATGTAGATGTCGACATGTTTATCTCTTCATAAATCATAATTTCGAGGAAATTTCGAATCAATGGTCTATATTGAAAAAGGTAAAAGAACTAAAAGCACAAATACAAAATAAAACTATCTATATATATATAAAGAGGTTGTTGGAAAAATACATTAATAGAAAGTTTGACCTAATAAATAAAACAATTGACTTACTATAAATGTAAAGTTCGAAAAAATACATGTGAATCTTTAGTAACAAAATCTGAATCCTATTTTTTTTGTAACTAATTTAGAGATTCTTATGGCAAAATTTGAATTCCATTTTTTTCGCATCATATTTTATTTTTTGTACCAAAATTTAAATCATATATTTTGGTAACAAATTTGGAGATTCTTATGCAAAAAATGTGTCAATTATTTATGAAAACAATTCTAAATACAAATTAACTTAAAGACCGTACAAATTGGATACGAATTTAGGAAACAAATAGTTGTATATTCTTAACCAATTCTTCCAATTTTATTGAATAATTTTTTCTTTAAAAAAAATGTGTAAATTGGATAAAACCACGTGCAATTTTTATTTTAGAATAAAACTGATATTTGGACGGGATGTACATTCAAAATTGTGTCCACATTTTTGGTAACAAAAGTGATTCATCTTTGATATTTAAAGTCACCTAATCCAATTATTTAGGAAAAATTGTGTGCAACTTCTCAAAATTTAAATACATCAATTTTTTTGGATGAGGATAATGTCAATTGATTCTTTCCGAATTGAAAGGTCACATGTGAAACTAATTTATTAGTTACTTAGGGAGCATGATTATAGGAGATCAAAATATATCAATGTAAATGTAACATCAAGCCATATAAAACAAGTTACGTTATAAGTAATTTAAACATTCTTGGTAAATTTTAAATTATTATATATAATAAATCTTTTTTTAAATATATTAATAGATACTACCTCCTTTTTTTTTTTAAATGTCATTTTGACTTTATTTCTTTTCGGAGGGTAGCCATCAACCAACTCACGGATTGAGCTTGCAATAACATTAAGCACTTTTTCCCCATGAACAATTAACCAAATAAATGACGTTTTGAATCTTTTGTACATATTTTTTCATTATTATTTCAATCTAGCTAATAAATACACTACATCTTTTCATATTCATTCTTCATCTTTTCTCAAAACATCCATCTCTATCTTCATTAATGAGGGTTATTATTTACAAAAAAAAAAAAATCTTAATTACTGTGCAACTTTTCAAAACGATACTTATTAAAAAAAGGAGGGAGTACTATATATGTACTTATATATCTATATATCTCTATATATATATTTATATATATAGGGAGTGGTTCAAATAAAAACTAGTCCTGGTGTGAGAACCGTGAGAACCGTATTTGATGCTAGTTTTTATTGTGTATGATGCTATTTTTAATATCACATGGTGCTATCATTGTCACAAATGCTATTATAAATTGTGTTCCTATTTTTAAGAAAATAAATCAATGTTAAAAATAGCATTAAAACACAATAAATCATAGCACTACTTGCAACTATAAATAGCGGTTCTCACGGTTCTCACGCTAGAACTTGGTTCTCATTTGAACCACATCCTATATATATATATATTGAAAGAGGTTGATTAAAAAATCATTTACAGAAACTTGATAAAAAATTTGAGTCAAAACCTTTGACTTAGTTCTTTTGGAAATTCAATCTAATATTATAAAATAATAATAGGGATTTACTTTATGTTGAAAAAAAAGTTCTTGCCCTTTAGATTTTACTACAATTGATAACTTTTTTTTTTAAATTTTTGAAAAATTGGGAGTTGATTTGTAATTTGAATTATAGCGCCGACGTTGGATGTGGCCGAGTCTATCAATGAGTACATGACATCATTGAATTT